AAATTCCTAAGCTTCACTCTCTTTGATAGGGTCTATTAATTTGCTGTGCATAACTGATTTTTTCCGTCTTTAGCTGGCTGCACTTTGAAACTCAACCGAACATCATCAATTTGAGGATATCTGCAGGAGAACACTCCTTCCTGTCTCACCTGCTTGATGCTTTAGACTCGACATGGACAGATTAATGACCAGATTTATGACTCAACACAGCGTGAATGCTAAATGGATGGGGTAAACTGGTGGCTTGGGGGGTAAATCAACTCACTTTATCTCTGATGAAAGGAAAACAAACCTGTTTTGATTAGCTCTGACTCTCTGTCTATCGTTTCTAAATTCAGATCAAATTTCATTGAAATCACATAGAGAATACACCAATAATAAGGCAATGCATTGTGCATTCATTAGTCAGTTAAATATATTATACAGAAAGACTGATTGCATTTGCCTCCGACTGAAGGCGCAATGGACAGATTTAGGCCAGCTGCCTGCAACAAAGTATTCGACGGATAACCATGAGGCATCAGTTCCAGGAATCGAGTGAGTTTCGCGTAAGATCCAAGGCCGGAGCACAGACAACTCAAAGCCACTTAGGTCGACTGTCAATGCTAGACAAGCGCTCATTAAGCTCTGACCCCTGGCATTGGAATGATAAGGATAGATACATTGAGTCATCCATTGCTGATGGGTATGGATCGGAGAGCATGGTATCCCACTGGGATACGATAGGATGGGGCTACATCCGTGCGTTCGTCAATCAGTGTAGCGTCGCGCAGCGCTGTGCGAAGTTCTGACAGTTTGCTGTCAGAGGCAGCAAAGGCTGGAAATGACAAACGGAAGCGAGGCAGGCAGTCAGCAGTTCTTCCTGGAAGCAGGAAGAGATGTACCGAGACGTGCCATCGCTGGCATTGTCAAGATGCTGCCAGCTGTAAAAAGATGAGACAGCAGAGTAGATAGATAGAGCCGCAGAGGGGCGGTGGCGAAAGAGCTTCTTGGCTTTCAGTGTTTGCTCTATCGTTTCCCTCCGCCGTGTCGGTATCTCAACTGCGGGTATCTCAACTGTTTCCTCATCTGTTCTAATCAATTAGCAGACTTTGGTCAGATGTGTGAGAGGGCGGAGCGGAGACCTGGTAATGGTCCGCCAACTCTTTAGAGAACAATGGCAGATTGTTGCCGGGGTGTAACGACAATGACAACATTGCTGCTTTCCCCTTGGTTCTTTCTCTAAATAATTTAATGCCAGTAAGACAATAATGCTTATTAAGCAATTTTCATTAATCGCTGCGCCACTCGACGTTCTACTCGACAATCTCGAGTGGTCCCATGGCACGAGGGAGACAGCTGAGAAGGCCACAGCGAATCTTGAATGCCCTTCAATCGAATTACTTTACCAAGGACTTTAAGCTATCACTAAGGGTGTTAGGGTTGAAGGGGGTTGACGTTGAAACATGACAACCATTCAAGCCACAACGAATCTTTAATGCCCTCGTTCTCGCATCTCTGGGAGTTTGCATTGGGGAGAGGGATATAGGGCATATTAGAGTTGAAGTGGCCTGCTGGTTGCCAAACTATCGAGGCAATCGATCTACTATACATATATATCCCTGCGAACGAATTTCTGGCAGCCAAGGTCCTCCACCTCCTTCCCATTGTTCCCTTTATTCCATTGAGCAGCTTTCCCCAGTTGCAAGTTAAGTGGAAATGGAGGGGAGCGATGGCTTCAACGAGTATTTGTGTGTTTGCTTTGGTTTGGGTGTTGACTTTGACATTTGTTTTGTATGGCTTATCCTTCAGAGTCCCTTAGACGCAGTCGCAGTCGCAGTCCCAGTCCCAGTAGGAGCAGCATTCACATCCACATCCTCATCGCCCATACATCCCCACCACAATGGGGCATCAATCGGCGCGTATTTTTTGTCGTCTATTTAGCCAAGTTTCGTTTTTCATTGTGTGGACTTTGTGGATGTAGCTACAATGGCTTTTAAATGGCCGCTCGTGTTTCGCTTTACGCCCCGGACCCCAGTCGCAGACGCAGACCGACATCGGACTTGTAGTACTCCTATTTCATGGCTGCCTACTTTACGGGCAATAAAATCGCAACGCCTTGGGCATCCCCCTTTCCGCCTCCGCCACAGTCTCTGTCTCTGCCTCTGCCACTGTGCCTGTATCTTTCTTCGAAATCGTTTACAGCTGGCAGCATGGCATATTTATCTATGAAACTCGAAATTGAAAAGCTTCTCCGGCTCTCAATGTATGTGTATCTGTTGGATTTGCACTGGAGAAAGCTAAAATTAAATATGTAAAAGTATAGGCAATGCATACAGAAATGGGGCACGCAGCCAGCGACTGGCTGGGGCACGCAGCCTGCACGGGGCTTTATTCATGTGATTTATTTGCAGGCAGAGTGACAAAATTGAACGGGGATTCCATTAAGAGTTCAAGTGTGTCACTGACTGCATTGACGGGGCCATGTGGCTGCGAATGCTGCCGCTAATGATGTATCCATCAAAATAAATCGCCTTTTATCAGTGCACAATTTATGCATTAAAACGAGCCAGCGGGCAGATTTTTCTGACACTCGAATGTTGTTTTACCGAACGCAGTGTTTTTCTACCGCGACTTCTGATGGGTTATTTTCCCAGTCAAGCACCTTGTCAACACAAATGGTTTCACAAAATAAAGGGTAAAAAACGAAAAACAAACAGAAAAAGAAATATTATAATTAAATTAAAATGGTTATCACAAAGCCCATAAAAAAAAACTGAAGAATCATTCGGAGAGCTGTGTGTATTTGTCCAGCAGAGTGACGCCTGCAATTGAATGAAATGTGTGTCTTTTTTTTACATACATACATATAGCATCATCGTATTTGTGTAGCATCCTCTACTAGCTCAATAAACTCAATAAATTACAAACAATAAAAGTTTTAAATTGAACACATTTAAATTGGTGCACTTCCAGCTCATTAAATCTGTCGAAAAATATATTCAATGGATAATTTTGAGGGAAACAATTTTAACTTTATGTGTATAAAAAGCAGAGCAATACATGCAACATGAAAAATTCCACTACAGTAATTTTCATAATAACTAAAAACTTTTTCTATTTTTTATTAATTAAAGAACACTGCTTTAAATATTTGGGATGTACATTTGCTGAATTTTGAACAGAAAACGGAGCTCAAATATGATTAACAACGATTTACTTATTCTAGCTGTCATTAAAAACAAATATAATTAGTTCAGTTTCAAGGCATTCGAATCGGTGTTTTGGCAATTGATTTGAGCCTAGAATAGCCCTCATCTGAAGTAAACATGTATTATAGCATCCAGTCGATCCATATGCTTGGGAATGCTGCAGGAATGTTATCAATTTTATAATAGAAATTCTATTGATTTTTCAAACAATTAAAATGAGGCTTTCCCAGCCTCCTGGGATCTGCTCACGCCACGTATTTTTGCAAAATGTTTTCATCCCTACTCTCCACACATTTTAGTACAGAAATATCCATAATTTTTAGATTGAAAATTCTTTCAAATTGAGGCTTCAATTTGCTTGCCTTTAAAATCTTCTGCCAGACAGATGGCATTTCATTTTCCCAGAGAGAATCTGAGATGAAACAAGATTTACAGGGAATGGAATTAAACGAAGGCAATTTGCACAAGGAAAACGACTCTTCCACACAGAAAGAGAACCGAAAGCAATTCGTTGCAGCTCAGGTGTGTGGCAACACAGCATCACGACGAGGCGGGTGACAGGGTGTGGGGGCGTGGCAATTTGCCAAAAGCAAATAAGAAGCAACATGCTAGTATTTTTCTCGGTAAAAGGGAGAGAGCTCTGTGCGCGTGTAAAATGAAAAGTTCTGTTTATTAAATAAAAAGAAATGCAAGTTAATTAATTAAAACTTTAAGCAAGATAGAGCATGCACGAAAGTTCTTTGTTCCTGCCCCATGTGGCCACACCAGGGCCGACAAGCGCTGGAAAGTGTGTTGCGCTTAATTAGCTGAGGTTCCTGCAACTGGGGATTTGGGCCAGAAACGATCCCAAGTAAAACGATGTCGGTCGGGGTGCAGGAACTGGACTGGGGGCTGGTTGCTGGTTGCAGCTGGTTCATTGATGTTTCACCCACACATTCGTGTCGTACACCAGTCCGTCGTACAGCAGCGCGTAATTTGGCAACAATTTGGCTACAGAAACCCAGAAAAGAGGCCGGCGAGGCCGTCCAATGCCAAGAGTAGGAACAGCGACACCTAGAACAGCGAAAACTATATGTAAATTGTAGAAATTGAATTTAAAAAATGATTTTCATGACATTAACATTGGCATTGGGCCGGGGCTAATGCTGCCGTTAATTGTTGATGTGTCAGGCGCTAACTGCACGATGGAAATAGTCAAAGATACACAGATACACGGATGCAGATACAGAGATAGCCGTGCGACAGCTGCGCATCCCATGGATCCATGAACGTTGCTTCCGCTCCCGAACGACTGTCATCGCTTGTCGCTCATCCGCTAACCTTCTGCGATTCCGCTTTCCGCTGACAAATTCTCTATGGGCATGCTCTCCTGATGGTATCGACATACCGTTCCCGTTCCCCCTGCTCGAGTACTTGAGCACCCATTAATAAAATCAAATTCTCATCTATTTATACATAAAATTGAAAGAAATTCGTTTTGCCACAAAATTAATTATACACCCACACGACTTCAGGCCGCACCCAAGTGTTGCCTCTGGCCCGGTAAAAATTATAAATTTTAAAATTAAAATGAAAGGAAGAAGGATGGCATCACACGCCCCCCTTTGATGCGCGGGAAAATTCAAGAAAAAAAAACGTCTGTATTTTATTTATAAATAAAATAAGATAAATATTATGCAAAAAATACGGTCCCCAACTTTCGTTGGTGTTGTTGTTCTTTAATATTTATGCACGCTTAAATAATTCTTTTTTGTTTGTATTTATAATATTTGTATATTTATTTTCTCTTTTACTCTGATTTCTTTGCAGTTTGCTCAACTTGGACAAGCGCCAGGGCGTGGCAGCGTCGTCAACCCTTTGGCATATCGCTTCGCTCAATCGGGACGACTTCCCTTCAACGTGCGGACACTTTCCCCCCTTTTCATTAACAATCTATTCGCTTACTCGTACAATGTGAGATCCCGAAATTGAAACGCACAAATCCACTCAAAAATTTGTCGTTGAAAATGTATAATAAAAAGTTAAAGCCCCGACGCGAGTAACCAACGTCTAATTTAGAGCTCGTGGCCGCCAAAATTCGAGTGTCCAATTTGTTGTACGACAACAGCAGCAGCAACAACAATTATGAAATATAACAAACAAAACAAAAAAATACAAAAAAAAACCACTAAAAACAACAACATCAAAAAATCAGCCAAAATGCGAGCGTTGAAAGCGTGTGCGAACATGAAAATAAAACATCATCATCAGGAAATAAATTGGGAAAAAAAATAAACTCATACATAAAATGTATAAATAAATATACATCGAAATGAATAAATATATAGACTAGCATATAAGCATAGCAATTTTCTATATTCTCAGTCTTATATATATAGATTTCTACATATACATATCTAAGACACCCCACCACCGACCGCGGTCCAAGAGGCTACAAAAAAGTGGCATTAGGACATTTTCCCCCTACTTAGTTGTCGGCATGAGGCATGGGGCAGGGACTGCCAGGGGCTAGGCGGCAGGCTGACCAAAGAGAAATATATAGATATAGAAATATAGATATATTAGATATGGCGGCTGTATGCTAAAAGGCATTTTAGGCGAGTGACATTCTTTCGACCAGCTGTTGTCATATAAATCATTAGGTTTCTACAGGGTGTGTCATTTCGGGTAGGGTGGGAGTTTAGGGCTCAATGGAGGAGGCACAACTAGAGAAAACGCAGATAAGGAGTTGGGAAAGTGTTTGAGTATACCCGGAGGCTTGATTAGTTGGTTCTGTTATCCTACTAGAAGTATCCTTGCGGAGACAAAGTTTAAACTTTCACTTGAGTTTGTACATTAAAAATGAACTGTCTTACCCTAGGCATGCTATTTATACCTTGTAAATGGAATTTTTGCTTTAAAAATTAAAGGGAACTTGTAAAAAAAATCACCCTGTAAAACAAACGCAGGGCTGGTTTCATTTATATATTTTGGAAAATGAATGGACTATTGGAGGGTTTAATTAACGAATGAATGACTGTTTAACAGCAAATGACGGACCTAAGTTTTATTTCCTTTAGTTTTCCGGTAAAATCAATGCTAGGAAAGTAGCCTGTTTGGGCTAGACGCAGACCCTGAATCAGACACCCTGCTAGTTTCGCATAAAATCCCACAAAACACGCACAACATCAACATCAAGAACTCAACTTCTGCGTCAGTAAATAAACAAATATTGACTCGAGTCGATACAACTGCCAGTGGCATCCGTAGAAACAACCAGATAATATGCAAAAGTGATTATAATCGGGGCTATGGCTATGGCTACCCTACCCTACCCCTAAGAACAAGCAAATCGAACAAATGTTTTCTCCCGCATTGATTTTTGATGGTTTTTTTTTTTGTATGCTTTGTGCATCATTTTGTGGCACAGTTCCAGAAAACTTAACATCGAATAACAATATTTGAATTAGTGAAAGCAAAGTAAAAGAAGCACTTGGTTGAGACAAACTAAATATAATTTTGAAGCCAAAGAAATGTTAAAAATAAAACCAAAAGAAATCAACGAATTTTCGGTGGCACCGCAAGTAGCAGCAGAAGCGGTAAGAACAAGAAACGAGCAGGGCGGCCCCCGCAGCAGCCGCGACAGCAAAAAATGAACAAAATTAAAAAGCAGCCGCTTGGAGCTAGAAAAAAACCCAATCAACAGCAGCAGCAGCAGCACCAGCAGCAACAGTGCCAGGAACTACAAATACAAAAACAGAAGCCGCAAAGTAAATAGCCAGGCGCCCAATCCAATCCAATCCAGCCAGCCTCCATCAGAAGCAGCGGCCAAAAGTAGCAGCAGCAGCAGCGGCAACGAGGCCATTAGCCAGTGAGTGGGTGGCTTTGGCTGGCAAGGACAGCCACGTTGGACGTTGACGTCGGCGGCGACGACGACGACACCGACGATACCGACGACTGCGACTGCGACGACGTTGTCGTGGCCAACACAGTCCCGGGTCCGGGCCACTTTCGCGAATCAATTTCCGTTGCGGTGGCCGTTTCAGTTTTGGTTTCAACGTCGCCGGCGCTACGCGTGTCGTGAATTTCAAATGGCGGTCGCTCTCCCTGTCCCTGTTGTCGTTGTCGGTGCTCCTGCAGGTGTTCGCGTAGGTGTTGCCTGCCCAGCGAATTAATGCGTAACGCGCCAGAGTCCGACCCCCGCAGGCCGCAGGCCAATTACCGAGTGCTAAAAAGTTAACCAAAGCCCCGAAAGAAAACAAAGTGTCAGAGTAACCAAGTTACACGTTGTGGCCACTTAACCAAAGTAAAAGAAAGGCAATAAGCCCCAAGAAAATTCCCCAAAATAGACTCAGACTAAAACGCAGACTTCGGCTCAGACCCAGATCCCGACTCATGTTGTTGTGCCCCGATCTTGGCCAGCTGCCGACGGCAGCGGCCTCCGTCAACATGCCGCGGCAAAGGCATCGCACCAGTGCCACAAGGATACGCAAGAGACGCTGCTGCTGTGGCAACCAGCCAGCGCCGGAGGAGCCACAGCCGCCACTACAGCCACAGACACAGCCACAGCGAAGCACAACGATTCCTCAGGGCAATAGTCTAGGCTGGAGCCTGGCAAGGGTGACGGCTACGGTTCTGACCACCGCGGCCCTGCTGCACACAACGAGCGCACTGTCCGGACCGGTCGCCGATACAGAGCCCGTTGCACTGCCACTGCAGGGAACTTCCACACCCACAGTCCCACCTGCACAGCACGTACTGAACGCCACACAGCTGGCGGCCACGCTTTTCAACGAGAGCAGTGGCCTGCTGGAGGCCGGCTCCTCTTTGGCCACATTAGCCGAGGACGAGGACTGGCTCGACAGTGTCTTCTGGCTGTTCAAGGCATTCGTCATGCTGCTGATCATCATAGCGGCCATATGCGGCAATCTGCTTGTTATTATTTCTGTGATGCGTGTTAGAAAATTAAGGTGCGTATACGTAATTTTTCACCATGTAGTTATAACCCTATTCTATAGGATTCGGGGTGGCACCCACAGCCCACAGCCTTCCCCGTACTCCCCGCCCCACCCATCCGCATCAACCACTTGCAGCTTCAGCAACATGGCCCACGCATTCTAATTATCTGTGAAAAAGCAATTAGAGCTGCTCTCTCTCCGTGTAATTCTTTCGTAATTTGCATAAAACTGCTTCAGCTCCATCCAGCTCCCACCAGCGTCCTGTTCGCAGGGTTGTCTTGATTGCCAATTTGCAGAGCTGCCTCCATGTGCCGCTCCCTGTTCTGTTCGCAACACTTTAAAAAATTACAAAGCGTTTCGCCTTCGTTGCGCGATTTTCGTCAACTTTGCATAAAATTCATGCACGTCCAGAGCTGCTGCTGGGGCATGCCCCATGTCCGTTGGCTGCTTCTCTTTTAGTGCTCGCTTTGCCCTGTCATTGCGTCGTCCGTGTTTTATGCAGATTCTTTGTCCCTTATTTATTAAGCTCATAATTGACCGTCACAGTTTTCTTCTATCCTGCGTTTCGGCAAAGCGTCTGGCCATATTTCCCCCATTTTTCTATTTAATTGCTTTACTTTTACCCTTCTGTAGTCCCTGCTTTCTGACAGACAACAAAAGATCCGAAATGCATTATTTTAATGGCAAATTAACTTTTGTGACTTTTTTAATCATCCAATTTGCATATTAGGGGTTCTTAATTGGAAGCTTTGTTCATGATTTAATTTTGGGAAAATAATTTCCATTAAATGCAGGTAGAGACTTACATTTCTCAGAAAAAAAAACTAAATGATTTAAATCAAAACTTTTGAGCTTCATTGAACATTTTCGTATATTTTGAAATTTGATTTTCATTATTTAAGCTAATTTAAGCTAATTTCATTTCTTAATCAGTATACAATTTGACCAGTTCTACAATTCTTCACTCTTGACTCTTAACTCTTAAATAAACCTTTTTTTACTAGCAATCAAATTTGTATCAAACTTATATCAATCACTAGAATGTTGTGGGGCACTTTATTAATCTCTTAAGAAACTTGAAGCACCTTAATTAAATAAAGTCTGCTGTGTATGGCGGTATATTTCCTTTAAAATTAGCGCCTTGATTTACTTTTCTCACAAGTATTTAAAGAGTTTAAATAAATACTTTCTCCCATTAAAATACAAGAAACTTTTCAACTTATACTTTTTAATTTATTTCGAATTTATTTCCCCAACCGGCTCAGATCGGAATTTTTTTATGATGCCAATTTTGCAGATTTGACGACTGGATCGTCACTGGGCCTCAATAATAAACAAATAAACCTTCACATTCAAAATTGCTCATCTCCACATCTGCCGCAGATATATACACACACAGAAACACTTGCACACAGACACATTTCATCATCTCGGGGTGTCCTCGTTACTTGCGCTGTCAACTGCTGGGGCGGAATGGGGGCTGAACGGCGTCTTTCGCCCATCGTTTATAGAGAAGCACATTATCATAAAAAACTTTAAAGTGATAAATGATGGGACGTCGACGTCCCCTGGTTCGTTAATATTTTTAGTTATGCCTTAATAACTGGCAGGCGAATCAATTTAGCGCTTCATAAAGCCGCTGTCTCTGGTTTCTGCTTCTCATCCCCTCCTCTCTAGGCTGACAAACGTTCCGATTTTTACTGTACCCTCGAATTGGAGAGAACAAGGGAATGTAGGTAAATAAGATATTATTTTATCTAACATACTCATAGATAATAAATGTTTTTCTGAAAAATAATTTGGTAAATTCCAATTCTATCTCATATAAAACCAGCTAATAGAAGGGGGTAAATATTCGCCTACAGACTTTTCTTTTTATTAAACGTTCTACAAAGAATTTTAACACAGCAAATGAAGAAACTTTAAATGCTCTTAACCAAAGTTTGCGAGGGGCAATGAAGCCAAAAGGCAAAACAAACAAACTTTGCGAAATGGAAGAAAAAAGAAGCTACAAAATTATAATGGAAAAAAAGGGAAGAGGCAAGGCATAATTAAGGTTGGAAGTCGCTTAAGTTTACTTCTTTTTCTGCTGCTGCTTTTGCTGCTAATGAGAAGCGTTTTATTTTTTAAGTGACTTGCGTGTCAGTGGATCCAGGTGCCAAGTTCCCGTTCCAGACCCTATCCCAGTACCAGTTAAAGAGTCAGACCAGTCCCTCCGCCGCCAACTAATGATGACGATCAAGATAATGATGATGTTGCTGTGATAATGAATGGGGGAGACCCCGAGAGAGTATGGTCTCCTTGGGGGCCCTGAATCCTAGGAATAATTAATTTCTGAAAATGTTTCACAAAAATCCCAAGAGTAGCTAGCAAGCTCCATCTATATGGTCAGCCTTCGAGCAGCTTTGCACAAATTCCCTATTGTTCTGGGCTGCAAAAATTACGCATACGCAGCGTGAAACGAGGCAGTAGAAATAAAAATGTGGAAAAAACGCTCTAAAAAAAAAAACACAGAAACGAAAGAAATGACAATTAAACACTGCGAGCATGTTGCTCAAAGAGAAAATGGAACAAAAACAAAATGCATGCAACAATGGTGTGTGGGATGCAGGGAGGGAGGTTGGGAGGGTTAGTGCTGGGGGAAAAACAAGGGAAAGTATCAGTGGCGCGAGGGGGAAAGGGAACGAGCGGAAGAGCGACAACAACACACCGCGCGGCAACAACTTTGGCAATTAAGGCAGCTTATGGTTTTTATGACAGCATAAATTTAAAATGTTCTATGGCAAACAATAAAATTTCGTATTTTTTTTTGGGCTCGCCCCAAGATGAGCCGCAGCAAAGAGTATCTATCTATGAAAGTACATGTAAATCTGTATATATGTATGTTTGTATGTTTGGGAATATGTAGCGTTCATTTGCCATTACATTGAGATTGGGGGTAGAGGTAGACGCGGAGGTGGAGGCGAAGGCTCATTAACGCACTTGAAGGATGCTCGGCAACTGTTTCCGCTCTTAGCCAACACAAGCAGCTGCTTCTTTAAGCTATTTTTCTTAAATTTAAATGGCAGGCAAATTATTACCCGAGTTCAACTACTATGATGCCGAGAGGAGGAGACTGACTAATGGCGCAACATTCGCAAAATGGCGTCGATTTGTTGCAATTAACGTCTAAGGCGTTGAAAGTTATTTAAGCGCTAGCCCTGGGCAAATTGTACTTGAAGGATAATGGAGCATTGCAGGCAGATTATTATCCAGAGAGGGAACGTAAAACGAAGACTAAAAGATGGGGCTAAAGTAACTTTGATTAAAGTCAAATATTGATGTCTTAAATGTTCAGAGTTTAGTGCAAAATTTAAGGCATATATAAGTGGTGCTCAAGCATTCGATTAGGGGAGAGAGTCTTTAGTGCTGGAAAGCAAACTCTAATTGGCAAAAGGCATGTGCTGGCACACGAAGTAAAGCTCAATTTAAATAACAAAATAGGCATAAGCTGGGGCAAACGTTAACCCAGACGATTGGGGCAACCGCAGCACTATCTATCTCTCTATCGGTCTGTCGACCTGTCTTGCCATTGGGTGTTGTCCATTCCCCTGGTGGAATTGGTTCGACATCGTTTGCAATTCTTGACTGGCTTTTCAATTATACTCCATGCTGGCACCAGAATGCATCACAAAGACCCCCAGTTGGCAGGAGGGACCAAACTGTCAACTCATACAAAAGAAAACCCCCCGCCCCATCTCCATCCCATCCACACACACACACATACAGGTTGAGGTATTCCCACACCCACATACACATTTACTGTTGTATATACCAATAGTCATGCACTCTGAGGCTCTTCACGCACTTCACGCTCATACAATATCGTGATTAGCCCACCCGGGGGCATGATTGTCCCCGCCTTTCTATTGGTATTGCTTGATATTGTTCTCTGATTTCTAACATCTTCTTTCTCTCTCTCTTCTCGTTGCAGAGTTATAACGAATTACTTTGTAGTTTCCTTAGCCATGGCTGATATAATGGTCGCTATTATGGCCATGACATTTAACTTTAGTGTGCAAGTAACTGGGCGGTAAGTACAACGGCAAAAAAAATATACCCTCAAAGCCTCGGCTGTGCAACAAAAGTAAGCAAAACTGTTGCAAAAATTACAGCTACAACTAAAGGCAGCGCCAAACAAAATGCCAGCCATCCAAAAGGGGGTGCACTAGCACCAGCAACGGGCACCCTGAATGGGGTGGGGTGGTCACTGCCATGAGGGACACGGGGTATGGTGTGGTGGGGGATCGGTGTAGGGCTGCTACAGGGCGTGGCAGTTGCAGAACAAACAACCGAAACACAAAAATCCCTGAAAAATGAAAGCAACGTTTATTTATGCTTCTCTGAATGTCTTTGTCTGTGTGAGAGTGTGTATCTATGTGGGCTGTGTGGGCTCTAAGGGGGTGTATGTGTGAGTGTGTGGTTGTGTGGGTAAATGCAAATGCAGAAAGTCATCTCTCCCTCCACTATGGCCCTGTGCGTGCTTTTGTGTTCAAGAATTAAAATGTGAAAAAGAAAAACTAGTAAGACTCAAAAATAAACGAAAGAATTGACTTTACAATACCCTTTAGCTGGACTTTAATTACATATATGAAATAATTTTCGAAGAAACTAAGGGCTGGCAAAACTGGCATTAGAGGGTACTCACAACTGTCGCTACTTACTAGACAAATGTGGATGTAAAGTCAACTTCATCTGAGACCTCATATACCCTTTCAACATATATATATATATATATATATATATATATATAGTATATGTATGTATACACGTATGGGGCTCACACACACGTAGGGACGCAGAACCGACAACTTTGAAATGTTATTCTAAGGGACAAAAACCGTCAGAGTGTGACATGGTCACATCCTTCACGCCAAACGTCCGACCATCCAGCAGTCCGACTATGACTATGACTGTCTATGGCTGCCAGGCGATATGGTTATATATACATGTACGTATGTGGACACGCAGATGTAAAGTGCAGGCGGGCTTCGTTCAGTTAATTATGCATGGACGCTGATTTAAAGGCCTCGCTTAAAGCCCGACTTCGGCGCCCAGGCTCCCACCAATGCAAATGTTTGCAATGTCATTGCCAGCGACAATGATGATGAGGCAACGATGACCGTGGCGATGATGATGATGTTGATGATGAGGTGGGGCAAGTGGCAAGTGGCAGCGCATCCATAATGTGTGCACTTGCTGCCAGGCCAAAAACTTCAGTCGGCAGGCACTTGGCCACGAGAGTTGCATATAAATTGGCATTGGCCGCAGTTGTTGTCGCCCATTTTCCTGGCAGGCCAGGCAGCCACAGAGCCGCCTCGCCTCCACTTGGCATTCATTAGCAATTTCACCTTCACAGTCGCTAGTTGCATAATTGACGCTACTTTGCCCGCGGCATCGTTGCCACTGCCTTCCTCATCGTCAGCGACAGCGGCATCGCCATTGCAGCACTCACTTCACGACCCTGCCCTGCCCGGCTTAAGCGTCAATTCATGACAGAGCATACAGAGCAGAGCATACCCTTCCATGCAACAAAGAATGGCAGACCGAGTGGAGTGCAAAACCAAATACGCCTACGCCCAAAGCACAGACCAGACCAGACCACGCCAGACCCAGACCGTGGCAGGCCAGGCCAGGCCGGAACAGAGCAGAACAGAGCCGAAAAGGTTGGGGCTGGCAAACGCTGCTGGCATGCTCACACAGTTCCTCTGAATAGTCAAAAAGTTTTTGAAACTGATGCCAAACGGGGCGCCCGATAATAAATTTCACTGCCTTCTGGCCAACAGGGAGGCGAAACGAGGCCCGCGCACAAGCCCAAGCCCAAGTTAAGACTCGAGACCAAGCAGAGTGGCAACCAAGGGCGACGCAAGTTTTAATGAGTTTTTCATGCAGCCCCTACCCCGGCCCCTACCCCGCCAGTCTCTGCACACAAGCCCCATGGCCTATTTTCGGTCCCACGGTGCATTTAAGCTTTTAATTTGGCTCTCCACATCCACAGTGGCAGTTCAGTTCAGGGGCAATGTCACCTGACAACCGAAGCTAAGATGAAATCGATAAACACATAAATCAGGCGGACTGATATACATATACAAGAAGGAGAGTCTGGTCTGGCTTCGGTAGTTCCACAGCCTACATTTTGGGGCAAGTTGGGGCAGGCGACAGTCAACTGCAGACCCAGTCTGGTTGCGTACAACTTTCACTTGGTGAAAATGATTTAAAATTCAAATGGAATAGCTGGTGGAAAATGCTTGAGTTGGTGCCGGCGATGACTTCATAACATTATTTATAAATAGCAGCGCAAAAGTAAAAGCCAGAAATGAATCATCACAAAAGGAAGGGAAATTGCCAAATCATGCATTCGATAATCAGCTACAATCAGGGGACGGGATATGACGGGGTATAACCTTTTGGATGCTGGGATTATTGAGTAATCATTGTGGTATTGATGTTCCCGTTAATTAAACTCTTTCAGCTGGAACTTCAGCCCCTTCCTGTGCGATTTGTGGAACAGTCTCGATGTGTACTTCTCGACAGCGAGTATTTTGCATTTATGCTGCATATCTGTGGATAGGTAATTACAGTTACAGTTCCTGCCAGCTGCCAGCTGCAGAAGCCAGCAATGGACCGGTAATAATATGGCTGCAACTCTCTTTTTGTTGCCCCTTTTTTTTGCAGATACTATGCGATTGTTAAGCCGCTCAAGTATCCGATTAGCATGACGAAACGCGTGGTGGGCATTATGCTGCTGAACACGTGGATATCACCGGCCCTGCTCTCGTTCCTGCCCATCTTCATTGGCTGGTACACGACCGACGAGCACAAGGTGTTCGTCAAGGAGAATCCGGAGCAGTGTGCATTTGTGGTTAACAAGTACTATGCCATCATCTCGAGTTCAATTTCGTTCTGGATACCGTGTACCATCATGATTTTCACCTACCTGGCCATCTTCCGGGAGGCCAATCGACAGGAGAAACAGTTGATGATGCGCCACGGCAATGCCATGTTGATGCACCGCCCATCGATGCAGCCCTCAGGTGAGAGTTCATTTTACCAGCTCCATGAGATTGAGCATTTATCAACACCCTCTACCTCTCTCACCCTCTGTGGTATAGGTGAGGCAATGAGTGGCTCGGGCTCGTCGAAAACATTGACACTGCATGAGGTCGAGCAGGAGCACACCCCCACTAAGGACAAGCACTTAATCAAAATGAAGCGGGAGCACAAGGCCGCACGCACGCTGGGCATCATCATGGGCACCTTCATCCTCTGCTGGCTGCCATTCTTCCTGTGGTGAGTGTCGGGACTGCTGACATGGGATTTGCGGCATAATTTATCTAATGTCACGCATGCATAATTAAATATTACTCATACGACCCGTCTGCCTTTGTTTAGGCTGTGCTTTTTGGCAGCCTCAGCGTCCCCCTAACACCACCCCCCCCACACAGACGATAAATCCCCACACACATAATCCCATTTATGCAAAGCCGCAAGCTCACTCATGCATCAGGCATTTATGTACATTTCGCTCTTCCTCGCCGGCACAGGTACACGCTCTCCATGACCTGCGGCCCCTGCCAGGTGCCGGATATCGTGGTGTCCATACTCTTCTGGATCGGCTACTTCAACTCCACGCTGAACCCGCTCATCTACGCTTACTTCAATCGCGACTTCCGAGAGGCTTTCCGCAACACGCTCCTGTGTCTGTTCTGCAACTGGTGGAAGGACCGCCACATGCCCCTGGACATCGACATTCGGCGCTCGAGCCTGCGCTACGATCAGCGGGCCAAGAGCGTCTACTCGGAGAGTTACCTCAACTCGACCACGCCCTCGCATCGCCGCCAGTCCCAGATGGTTGACAACTTATAATACAGGAACGAGGCGCTCCTGACGCCGATTGCCCAGCAGCAGCAGCGGCTGGCAGCGAGCGACTCCCGCCTGGCGGTCACAGGAGGCACTGCAGCAGCTTCAGTCGGAGCAGGGGCCGGTCTACGACCAGGCACCGGCTCCGGCTCCGGCGCCAGGCCCACTCTCGATAGTAAGGGGGACGATGTGCAGGAGATACAGATCGAAATACCCATGGAGTACATCAACAAATGGAACAAAAACAACAATGCAGCTGCCTCGACGGCCTCCAGCCACGTTTAAGGGGTGTGTGCGGATGTGCGGAAGGGACGAGAATGGGTGGACAGGAATCCATTTAATGCAATTAAAATTTTCCATTAATTTGCAAAATTAATATGCGCTGGCGCTGGTTGATTTACTCGTAATGTTGACATTAATCAATCATGCGCTGGAGCGTGCTATTTAATTTTGTACCCTACTCCTGAACCCCACTGTGCGCACACCACAGTGCACTCCATAAATTGTTTTCCATTCTGCGTCTCCGAGAACAGAGCTGTAGGACAATTTATTTATGTTTGATTTCGTGTCGGTTAAATCTTGTTGTAAATACTAAATATTTTTGTACGACTAAATTAAGTGAAGGTTGTAAAATCATTTCTAGCAGAAATTTGTTAAAAATTACAAGAAAAATCTATTCAAATGGCAATCACTGCAACACACAGAGCTATACTCGTAGGTCCACATCCAGAACCGAATACGAACACTAAACTAGAAGAGCTAATGCTAAAACTGTGCCAATTAACAGACCGCAAAACATAGACGTCTATGGGAGAGGAGACATCTATCCTACATATGTATATTGTATATGTATTAAGGTATTTTCCATTCACCATACAAAAACTGCAATTAAATTCAGAGAAACCAAACAAAGTCATGGAAGCAAAAGCAAAGCTAGAACCCATTAACGACAATCGCATTAATTGAAAATGCTCAAAAAGATTCGAAAATATTCAATAAATTAAACAAAAGAAATACCTACATATAAATTAAGCATAGCGAAAAAATATCTAGTTGTATCAGACATTTCTAGCATTACCAAGTGGCAGTCGAAATCAAAAGTAACCTCTAGTGAGACCCAACATAAGATTAACCAACATATAGTCAAGTGCATCGATATCAGATTATGGGACTAAAACCGAATTAAGTGTATCCGTAGTTCGTATCCGTTTCCGCTTCCAAGTGTTGAATTTGAATGTGAATAATCGGGACGAAATAAGTGCGTGTTCCTGAGAGTGTGACGACGAATCAGAGGCAATTGCGTTGCAGTTCCTGGAATTAAGTTGACTGTGTAGCCTGGGAAGGCAAGGCTTGAGCACTGCTTCTGAAGTCAGCAACTTGATTCCAGCAATTGCGGCCCAAACACAACGCTGAGTAGTGTTCAAAATACATACAATACATATAATCCACCACGTTCCACCAACCAAAAACAACCGGAACCGTTACAAAATTTCGACTATGAAATGCAATTGAAATGCAAATGAGGCAAATGAGGCAAATAAAGCAGACAAAGAAAGCATTTTTGCGTACTACTTTGTGTACTCCATAACGAGTCCATAAAATTATTATAGCAACAGTTTGGAAAACTTACCTATTTATGATTTACCCTCGATGCGCCACAGAGCGGAAGGCCAAGAGCATTTCTCAAGTTGAGCCAAAACGACAAAGAAATAAGAAAAAACAGAGGAAATCCGTTTATATGGAGAACAACAAATCTCTTCCAAGTTGTCAGCAACTAGAACATTTTCTTAATAATTTGCGATGCTAGTCCCAGAAAAGAAAAAATACAATTTAAATAAAGTAAAATGAAAGGAGATAGAGCCAAAGCTCGCTATGTACTATATGTAGGGTGTATGAATAAATATACGTCTATATAAATGTTATATATCATAGTAAGTATTTATTTTATGCGTATGTATGTATGTATGACTTTCCTTAAGAAGACAAAGAGAAGGCAACCCTCTCCAAAACAAAAAACAAATCGAATGAATCTCCAAGGAACTTGTTATATTTTTATAAACCACAGAAACCCAAAACAAAACAAAACAAAAAAATTATATGTGTGTACTATATGTCTGTCTGTGTATATATGTATGTTTGTATGTGTGCAAGCTATTTATTTAACAACTAAAAGCAACAACTTTTTGTAACATTGTTTTCTTGTAGGTTTGCTGTGCAATTTTCCATGAAAAAAATACGAGTACAATAGGATCTAGTATTAAGCCAAACTGAGAAGCAAATCTAGCCTCGAGTAGAGTCAAGTAAACGGCAAACTAAGCCACTAACTAAGTGAATCTGAAATTCATGTGTATTATAAAGCAACATAACGAACTTCAAGTTGGAAAACATACAGCAAAGCAAAGCAAAAAAAACAAAATAAAATTATGAAAACTACAGATTTAGCCAAACAATTTGTCTTTTTATTTAACCCATGGACTGCCGTCTGACCCACAAGTCAAATACCTTTTTTTTTTAATAATGTAAGGATTGCCCGTTGACCCAGCAGTCATGCCCTTTATCTCGGGAAAAGTTCTGGACAAACTGGAAAGTAAATAAAACCGAAATTACCCGCTCCGCACAGTGTTGGCCAAAAGTACATTAACAGCATATTATCAGCAGAGAAGTAAAGCTGATTACAGCCGGCGACAGTTGTAAACTTATAAATAACTGTCATGCCTCGGGTTCGGCTGACAAATTACAAATTTTTACAAAGGCCCCCCCCCTGGCAACCGGCGGATGCCTTGGCTCAAGCGTCGAATGAGTGATTTTTATTTGCCAAATGCCAAATGTGTGTGTGTGTGGGTGTGAATGTGTGTATGTGTAATTTAACCGACGTCATGGCAATGACGGCTCTGTGCCAATGGCAAAAAGAGGTGCTCTGTACTTTGGTCTTGGCAAGGCAAGTAATTTGTCATGAGACCCGCTTCTGTCTCGTGCGACACACACACTTTGAATGCCTTAAATCGCTCGCACCTGTAAGCAAAAGTTTGTGCTTTTTCATAGGGCGCTATAAATTAAATTTATTTACCAGAAAGGTGACAGACATCACATCGAAAAGTTCCCCTGCAAAGCTGAACCCCCAAAAACTCATCCCACCCACCACTGGCACAACTTTTTCAGCATTTTTAAAAACTCATAAAGAAAAAACTGTGTTTGAAAGAGACTTTACAAACGTTGATGAACATTTTGTAGCAAATATAAAATTCAAATATTGTCGCGACAAAAAAAAATATATTGACAGGATGGCGCGGGAATTAATTCTGGTTTGGCGGCGAGTCAAATTAAATAAATTTGTTTAACTTTTTCAGCTCGTAGTACATCAATCAATTTTGAAAAATGGTATGGGACATGGTAAAGCTGTTAGCTGTGGGTCCTGGGATCATCACGATTAAACGCGTTTGGTTTTGCATGTTTTGAATTATTTTACCCGGCACTCAAAGAGTATATGACCATGTGGCATTCGTGCAAATGTATCAAACATAAATATAGGGGAAGGGAGGAGTTTTTGGCCTGTTTAGATACATGTGATTTTGATTGGCAACAGGTGGGTCAACATAGTCATGTCCATATTCCACCTGGATAATGGAGACCATAAGAAATGTAAATATCGTTCCTCCTCTACTCCATGAATCAAGAAAACGAGGTACAAAGCATTTGGTACTGCAGTTGATTTTACTGGTTCAAAGCTTAAATAAATAAATTTCGATTTTAAGTTTTAAAATAATAAATTAAATTCTTATGTGCCCAAGTTTATCCCATGGGCAGCAGAAAGTCGACTCTAGCGTTTATATTTTTCATTTTCTGTAGCTGGATACCCCGTAGCTATATTAAGCTGTGCGAAACCACACTGGAGATTGGCATAATAAATGCAAGTCAAAACCAAACTTCATTCATCAAAGTCGAAGCGGAATCTTATGAAATCTCTAGGACACAGTGCCGCCACTCCATGGCGATGCTCGCGAGTGAGTGATCCCCGATGCCATTGAGGCATTCATCGCTCATAAGACGCGCCAATTTGGCCGTGACAAGTGACAGACACGCGTCGGATGCCACAGCCAGAGGCCACTGGCTGATGAGTACCCTCGCATTCGCCTTATGGCTCATCAGCATTTCAATATTTAAAGGCACACAATGAGTGTCAAATAGTCCTGCACCTTATCAGTCAGTCAGTCCGTCAGTCAGTTAGTCAGTCCGTCACTCAGTCCGTCACTTAGATGGAGACTACACAACTGTCGGTGACACAACGCAATCGTGGAATCAAATTCTGTCTCTTCTGTATATTTTTATGAAATTTTAATAACTTTGACATGTGCCCTGACAAGCGCTCAGTCGGGGGACCCGTGTACTCATACCCGTGCCCAGACCCGTAGTCGGAGTCGGAATCGGAGCCGGCATATTGCTTTCGTCAGCTGGGAGTGCTGTCCTATTGCTATTGTTGTTGCCATCATTGCTGCTGTTGCATGTTGTGTCGCCCTGCCCCTTTGTTGTTTCTGATTTGCACGACATGAACATGAGCTGAAATAACAAATCTTTTTTAGATTTACGCACGCGGCTTTGGGGGTGTCTGTGTGTGCGTGTGTGTGTGGTGGCATCACAATATTTTTATTACAAATGCAAATATTGACGCCATGCGGAAAGGGAGGGGAGGGTGATGATGGGATCCAAGGGAAGTACGAAGTACGAGTAGTAGTTGTCCTGTCTCTGACTGCCTTGGGGCCTGCTGCTGGTGCGGCAAATTCGGCAACGAGCGAAACAGCAAGCGATTGGCGGTGGTCCAGGGTGGTCTGAGTGGCTGCCCTGCCCCACATGGGGCTGAGGGTTGGCACAGCTGATGCTGGTAGGGTTGCTCAGAGTGTAGTAGATAGGATTGGACATGTTCTCTACCGAAAGTTAGTACCAAAAAAAAATACACCCCAAAAAGGATGCTTTAGATTGTAATTAATAACTTCATCCTTAATACACTGATTTACACAGCTTCGTACTTATGATAGACTATTGCTCAGCCACAATCTACTACCTTTCAAAGCATCCCTGTTGGTAATTTAAAATTCCTTTTTCCCGCCACAAAACACTGCGCAGAAGCTCTCCTTCCTTGAAACCGCTCTCAGGGATGCCAATTCGCCGCGGCTTGTGTTGATATGCCGCCAAAGGACTTGGCACGTTGGCCATCATTCAGTTTGCGTCCAGTTACCAGAACAGGCACCCACCACAACGCATCGCCAGCTGGCTGAGAGGCTCTCAGGCTTTCAAGCGCACAGGCTGTGTGGCCAGTAAATACAAAAACCCCCCAACGTAAAGCAATCGAAACCTGTGACCACTTGTCACACATGCTTGGTAGAAAGTAACCCAAAGTGCCAGTGACAGTTCTGGGTATTGTGTTGGGTACTGCGGGGATACGTCTCGAGAGCCACCACTCCTAAGCGCCGGCTGGGGCATCGAATGGTAAAGGACTTCGCGTGTGCGTGTTTCAATTTCGTGGCACTACTAAAACCGATACAAAAACTCCATCTATGTGAGAACTGACTTGTGAAGGGGGCCTGTGCCTGTGCCTGTGAGGCGGCGGCGTCTTGTACGTGTTCACGCTGCTCTGCTGGCCAAAACGAAAAAAAAACCAAAACGTGCGGCAAATTGTGGCCAGTTGGCGGCAGCAACTGCTGCTAGGCGGGGAAATCACAAAAAAAAAACCAAGAAGAAAGAAATTCCAATTTAACAAATCGATTTCGGGGCTTTTTTATAGTCCAAGGCGGACAGTCGTATAAATAGAGCCAGTGACAGGCTAATGACAAATTAAATTGTTTGGACAGACAGCAGGAACAAAAATAAAAAATACAAAGAAAAAGCAGCCGCAGGCATTAAAAAATTACGAAGCGCGCGCGTGTGAAAACTTTGAGCTGCTATCAGCCAAAACAACAGTAACAATAAACTGCGATAAAAGCAACAAAAACAAACGGAAAAAGTTTCTTTATTTTTTGGGTTTTATTCGAAACGCCCAGCGCCACATTGCCACACGGCCACAGGACGACCATCAAACAGCAGAACGCAAATCAAGAACGACAATGACGGCGTCGCGGCTCTCGGGCTCATCCTGCTGCGGCACAATGGCCCCTGGCCCTCGTCCTGGCCTCCATCGTCAGATCCGGACGCATCGCGCGTGTTGAGCAAGTAAGCAAACAATAAAAACTTTCGCCCCGGCCATGCGAGTGTTGCCTACTTGCAGGCGCAGCACGTGAAACGGAAAAAGAGCACAGCAACAGCAACACCCACACAGACACCAGACACTCACACACAAAGATAACATACAGAGAACGGGATAGAGCACAACAGGACCCACCCCACACCTAAGAAAGAACAGAAAATAACAGAACAGAACCGAACAGCGAAAGAACAAAACGGAAACACATTGAGCGCCATTTTTAGTGGTTACGTAAACGGGAACTGCTGTCTATTTAAAAGGAACAGTTTTGAGGGGTGGGAAGAGGGGGTCACCTAATGCTAAACCTCTTTCAGACCCAACATTCGCTGTCCTCCTCTTTCCGTGTCTGGTGTCTGTGCAGCAAGTTGCTCTCTCTTTTAATAAAGTTGCCAGTGTTAGTTGTCTGACACTTTGAATATGTACGTTTTTAGCCGTCGTTTGGCTTGGCTTGGCCTGGCCTGGCCCAGGTCCCAGCCTGCTGTCCAGACAGTCCCAGGTCGTCTCGTTCCCTAATGATACAAATCGCACCATGAACACTGGGCTGGAGTTTCGAAGAAAACAGAATTACAAAATGTAGCTGGTATATATTTAGATGAAGTTCATGGCATTCCAGATAATGGTTTTTGATTTGGGTACAGCAGCATTGTCTCAGAAGATTAGAAAAAAAACGAGAAGGAACGTGTGAGTCGCTTCTCGGCATTATACTTTATGGGGTCGAAAACGTTTCCTTCTCTGCGTTGAACACATCCACTTTTACCACAAATACAATATACCCCTTTACTCTTTTTGAGTATAACAAACATAGATGAGGGATTCTGGGCAGCTTTAGCATCGATTTACTCTACCAAAAACATTCAGAGAAATCGCACAAGGAACAGTGGCTTAAAACTTAATAAAAGCAAATATAATTAGGCATTGTATTTAAGACTTACAAATGGTATTCAATCTCTGGCAATTTATATCATTGTATGTTGTTTGGGTCCAGCAACAACACTCCTTGTGAGTCCATGAAAGGAAACAAATGACTTGAGGTCGGAAAGGCCAGCAGAAAGAGTCTTAATTAGCTATTCGTTGGATTCTTACTGACCGAAGTACTATCATCAATCAGTAGATATAAATCAAACAATAAACATGAACCCTGTTTGAATATTTCGAGCAGAACAAATAAGGAATTACTTTAATGTATTTATAAACCATTTTGAAACCAAGAATCTATTTAATAATCTAGAACCTAATTCTTTGTTAAAAGATTAATCGCGATACGTGTAACATTTTTTTTCTTTTTCAATATTGGTAAAATATACATGTCAATTCAAATAAGGATAATCCGATTTCTGAAATTTGACGATGCCGGGAATGAACTATTTTTTTTAGAGATTTCGAGTTTTTAAATTTTTCTTAAATCGATAAAAACATCCACTCCATTTCGCAGGACCCCATAGTTTTTTATTCGATTGCTGGAACCCAATTTCCTCTCGTTAGTTTCTGCCAATTCCGGATCACAGTGCACACAGGAGACTGGGTTCATGCACTGCCTGATACTCGTACTTGGCTGCTGCAGATTCTGGGTCACGATGCCATTTGGCATTTGCCACTTGATTCGCTGTTGGACGGGCCTCGGAGGTGGCGCCTCAGACCCGGCGCACCAAGTGGCCGTTCGACTCACCTTTGAGCAGCCAGCTCTTGGCCTTTTTTTTTGTTGCACTTGTGAATGAGTTTTGCGACTGCGACTTGGCTCTGGCAATCGATTTTCTTGGCCAGGGATTTTCAGCTGGTGCTGCACCAGCATTTAATTGAAATTCGGATAGTTCGTTGTTCAAATCAAATTCAACAAAAGCCCTGAACTGTACGTCAGCCCTGTCTGCTGCTCGTTATAGCCGAGGCAGAAACTTTTATCCCAACATCGACGGCAAAACTATATTGCCAGAATAGAACAGAACTGAAAAAGCAGACACACACGTACTAGGGCGAACGTACTGACAGAGAGACAGACAGACGGACAGACACAGGGAGATTGTCATGCACAAATTGAAACTTTTCAAGTTACGCTCGAAAAAGTTTGAATTCCACTAATACAGTCGGGGGGTTTTAGATTGTATAGTTACAGACACAGACATGTGCATACGTGTATAGATGTTTTATTTGCTGGAAACTTTCGAATGGTTTCGAATTCAATGAGATTTGTGCACAGACCGTTACCCATTCCATGTGCAAAACAATATGCTGCGTTCTGTCCTGATACGGCTAATGCCCTTAAAGCCGGCAAATATTTACGCATAAATGTTTTAAATGTAAATGCCTCCATTTATTTTAGCAATATCTCATCGGCATCCCCATCACCATGCCCCCATCTCCTCAGCCCCTCATCCGCTCATCGTCTCGAATGTCTTTCGATAAATGGCTGGATAAATGATAAATAGAATGAATGCCTTTAGGCATTTCTGTGTGCCATTCCCCTGGACGGGAGATTGGCTGGTTGTTTTTGTTGTTATGCCGATTGTCTCGTCTGTTCGGATTTGGCTCTAAGCTAATCAAATTCATGGCTGGCATAATGATTCGATGCATACCATAGGCTGAGTGGCAATACTTTTGTCGTTTTCTGATTGAAAATTTAATTAAAGAAAACTGTCAATGGACCCAGAGAAAACATTGACGAAAGTGACAACATTTTTCCTTCTTCTCCCACATTTCTGATCATAGTACTTTCAGTGCTATAAATATTCAATGTGGCTCTTAAATGGCTTTTATTAACCACAAATCGTTCGCACTTTTGCTAAAAGTTTCGAACCAACAAATCCGAACCGTGTGCAATGACCACAAGTCTTTTAACTTGTGTTGCACACCATTGGCTGCTCAATCGATGAAAGGTTTCAGGAAAACACATCAAGCGTAGAATCAGGAATCAAAAAGAAATGAGGAAACCGCAAATAGCCATATACTAGAACTTAATTTCCAGCAGTGTTTCGTCTCCCAGTTCTCCCCGTTTGTTCAATCAGTTAAGCAAATATTTGCAACCGAAGCCGGAAATATGCTCAAGAAAGCATTTAAATCAGTTTCGCTCTGGAAATGGAAATTCCCATTGCTTGTTTTATTGCCCACTAAATACCATGAATGATATTTGCCATTGACTTAACTCGGGGCAAAAGGAGCAACGAAACTTGCAAATTAATAATATTAGTGGCAGGCATGGTATTCATCCTGTTCTCTCGGTTTTGTGGTTCGTTCGTGTGCCCAGGCGACAATGGCGGACTGGCGGCTCAACGCTTTTCTCATTAGAAGAACTTCCGTTTGGGGCAAGGGCTGGGCTGGGGACTGACACTGAGCCGTACCGTGCTGAAGATGCCACAATTCACCCGGCGACGACCACTGCCTGTGTTTATGTCATTAAGTGCCGCTCGACACTCAGAGACATCTGCCTGTGCCCTTGGCATGCCCGGAATTGTTCTATTTGTTTTTGGCTCTTTGAGACAGATTATTGTTTAGAATATTGTAATGTGGCAAAGCCAAGTAAAGTGGAGTGGCTGCAATGCAGAGCACGAGGGTTGTCGGATGATAAGATAACGTTTACCAAACACTCGTTTAATGTGCTTTAAATATAATTCTTGTTTAAGTCTGTCTTAAACCATCGTTTGAGTGGAGTTACCGTCTCATTTTTCTCTTGTTGGGCTTGAATAAGCCTAATCCATTTCCGCAAGCCCCACGAGAGCCAGATCAGATCTTCATCTATCATAAATTCCTGTTTCATGTGCCATGCAGCATTTGTTTATGTTACCCAACTTGAACACTCATCACATATATGAGAACCACTTAAAATAGTTACAGAAAAGCCAAATTTTACAGCCATAATCTATCACGATTTTGTGCAAATCTTTTCTTTTACTTATACTTTCATGAATGATTGAAGTGCTGTTTTAATACTTCCCTCCAAAAATGATTTTCCCAAACTCCACTCAAAAGTCAACTTTTAAGAGGATTTTCTGCATTCCAAGGGTTGAGCTAATCAAATTCCCTAAATACCAGCTGCCAATATTGCCTCGGGCCTGTTCAAGCTGCCTGGCAAATGAAGTTCCACTCTCACACTACTCAAAAGGCCAAACTTTTTGGTCGGCCCTCGTTCGCCTGGCAGCTTAAGGATCCTTCATTCGACATGTTTACTTTGCACTTGCCACTTGCCCCTCACCACTTGGCTTCACTCTACACACTGCTTTTTTGTCTAGCCGCTGGTTGGCTGCTTGCAACTTTAGAAACCGTTGAGAAAGCCTTTTGTGTGTTAGTTAAAGGTTCGGCGCGGCCCAGCCCCAGCCCCAGCTCCACTCCCGTCTCGCTTACCTACTTTATACCTCGCTCTGTTTCTTTCTCGCTCTACCTCCCTGTCCGTTCTTGCCTCTTTTTTGGGTTTAACTTTCATTTTTGTGTTGTGTCAGGCATATGTAAGGGGAGGACTTTGCGCTGCTCGGTTTGCTCTGGCCCGTCCGTTCGTTCGCTCGCTCGACCCATGGGCCTTGTCGGCCTAGGCCATTGTCTCCCAGTGCGTTCCTTTTTTTCTCCATTTTTTTTTTTCTCCTCCTCCTCCTGCTGCTGCTGCTGCCGCTACCGTTGCCATAAAACTCTATACATATATTATTTATGCTATTATTGATTTTATATATGGGTTCAAAGGAGTCAGTAGGAGACCCCTGGGGCAGCGCACACCCCCCGCCACTGCAGATTAACGTGTCGCCATTGCTGGGCGCAAAATGAAATCATTCTTCAACAAAATTTATAACCAACTTCGCGAGAGCTCATCAACTTCCCTTTGAGCTGTGCAATTTGTAAGACTCTTACCAAAAATGAGAGGAAAGAAAAGAAAAACCGAACACGAAAACGAAAACGACAGAGAGACAGAGACAGAGTGAGACAATATTAGTTGCGTGCTCTTCTTTCAATTTATTTTGTAAGATGCGGCGTATACGAAACTTCAACTTAGTTG